AAAAAAAAAAAAAATCCGAAAAAAAAAACCAAAAACAAACAACCCGCTGGAAGAGAAATGGAGCCCACGTCCATCCGTAATCCCAACTCCACATCCAAGCCAACAAACTGCCTCACGCGAGGGGACAAGGGAAGAACACGGATTAGAAGAGGCAAGGAGGAGAGGGAGGGGGGAAAGGGCAAAAAGAAACAAATCAGCTGAAAAGAGGAAAACCAATATCATTACAGAAAAGTACAATTTATTTTTTTTTTCTGAATAGCCTGAAATTGTATTGGGGCAGCTGCCAGGAGAAGCGGCACCCTCGGGTGCACCCATCCGGTGGATGAGGAGGTGCTGGAAGCTCCCGGAGGCAGCAGAGTGATACAGCACCCCAACTTCAAGCTCGGTCACCCCCCATCATGCTGCCATCAACCCGCTGCTGCAGTCCTGCCCCAAAAAGCTGCTAAAAAAAAACCCCAAAAAAAAACCAAACCAAAAAAACAACATTCGACTGCAATTCCGCCAGCAAAAAAACAGGGTTCAGCCCCACCGGGCTGGGGAAGCGAGGAGGATGGAGGTGTACTGCTGATGAAAGAAGTAAATATCCAAGTTCAAAAGGAAAAAAAAAAAAAAGTCATGGAAGATAAGAGCATTCAAAAAAAAAAATAAATCAGTCACAACCAAACATTTCGGACTGCTGAGGTCTGGAGCTTTTACAACTAATGACCACTTTAAAGTGAAAAGAAAGCCCATAAATTCTATTTTTAAAGAACATTTTTCTTTGGAAAAAAGAGAGTAATTTTTTTTTTTCCCCTAAACTACAGCATGTGGAGTTGCCACTACCTAGTTTTTTTTTAATCTATTGTCGCTAAGAGGTAGATAAACAAAAATGACTTGGTTATATATAAGGTCGTGCCCCTGGGTTTGACGTGCGGTGACGCTGAGGGACTCCACGGGCACCGGCAGCTCGGGGCTCTCAGGATTATCTCGGGCTTCACGGGGGGGGTTTGCCTCCTCTGGAGCCACCAGAAAATTGGTTGGGTTTCGCTTCGGCCGCAGGAACCGACGGAGGCGGCAGTGACACGGGGGGGGAGTCACGGTTTAGGGCCAGATTTCCTCCTGAAGTCGAGGAATTGGATCCCGAGATTCATCCAGATGCATTTTTAAACGAACCGACGCGATTAAACTGCCGGGTAACAAACACTCACACCGGTTATGGCTATGTGAAGGGTTATTTTCTGCCCCGATTCTCATCAATCCCATCAATTTTCCAGGATGTTCTGCCCAGCGCCATTCCCTGCCGCCCGTGGGCAGCTCTGCCAGGCTCGTGCTCCGGATCAGCCCCTTCCCACCCCAAAACATCAGCGAACTCCTTCCCGCTGGACTTAAGTGTTGCTTTGCAGAGACCATTTCCCAAACTGGTCCAAAAAAAAAAAAAGCTTCGATTCTGTTATTCTGTTTCAGTTCTGTCGTATGTCCCAACTCCTGGGGTTTAAATTAATTCTTTTAAATTTTTTTTTTTTTTTTTTTTAAGCAAAAAAAATCCCTTTCGCCGTTAGCTCGGGCTGATCCGCAGCACCCAAATATTATCCACAGTTCATAACCCACCGCTCTGCCTCGCTGGCGGGTCCAGCAGAGCATCTCCCCCCCCGCCCACAGAGGTATTCAACAAAAAAACTCAAGAATTCTGTAACGTACAGTAAAGCAGCAGGGATCAAACGCACACCCCAGCCAGCCCAGAGTTGACTTTTGGGTCTGACTCAGTCCCCAGCCCTTCTGGCATCCTCCAGAGCCTTCCTCCTCGGCTCTCCTCTTCCTCCTCCTCCACCACACAGCTCTACCTAACCGCAGGGCATCGCACCGGGAGGTCAAAACTGCCTCCCCCACCACCAGTCGGGAGGGTCTCTGCTGAGCTCGGGGGTGCCAGAGGCCAGATCCTGCCGTGGGGGGTGATGAGGGACCCCCCCATCGGTCCCTCGGGGCTCCCTGTCAGCTCTGAGGTAGTTTTGCACGTGTACGTTTCCAGCTCGCAGCACCTGCACGGTCTCCAAAAAAAAAAAAAAAAAAAAAAAAAAAAAAAAATATTCATGATTTTAAGTGCCTCTGGCTGGTTTTGCTCTGCTCTGAATCTCATCCACGATCACAAATGAGTTTTAAAAAAAAGAAATAACGTTTAAAAAAATAAAAAAAATCAAACTAAAATAATAAAAAAGGCTTATTCAACCGAATGGGGACGCAGCTCGCTCTTCCCCACGTGCTGCCGATGTGGAGCCGCCCTTGGGCTTCCCGAATTAATTCCAAGCTTTGACCAGTTTTTGCCAAGCACCTGCTCCGAGGCCACTTCCCAAGCGCCGGGTACCTGGCCCGTGGCCACCCACCTCTGACCAGCAGCTTGAAGCCTCCCGAGCCCAAAGCAGCGCTCGTTCCCACCGCCCCAGCTCCCAAAGCCAAGCCATAGTCAAATCCTGCACCCTCCAGCCGGGAAAGACCAAGGCCAGACTCAACAAGGCACAGCCCAAGCGGCTGCCGGGAGCCAGCGCGTTAGGAGGATGCTTAAATATTTCTGTGCCCTCTCAGGAGAATACGCGTTTCACAGGATCACACCGATTTCATCCGAACAAAAGAAAAAGCTACGACGGAAAAACAAACAAACAAAAAAATTAAAAACGACCGGAAAAAAAAAAAAAAATCAGAAGCCAAAAAAAAAAACCAAAAACCCCAACCCTCGGTTACTAAATTCTCCAAAAATAAGAAAAGTTCCAAAAATATCAAAAGCCTATGCTGTGTGGACCAGCAGGGGACAGGGAGGGAAGACCTACATCAATAAAAAGAAATTAAATTAACGTCTTCAACTGTCTTATAGCAAGTCTGCGTTTCTGATCTTTTTTTCTTTTTTTCAGAGTCTAGAAAACACTCAAAATAGTTGAAGCTAGAAATTAATTTTTTTTTTTTTTTCTGGCACTGATTAACTACCTGACTAACTTTTACTGCTTTCTTCTTTTTTTTTTTTTATTTAGTGCACTAAAAAAAGAAAAGAAAAACAAACCCAAAACCTAATGCCCAGGAAACAAAAAAAAAAAAAGTAGCTTAGAGGCAGGGGTTTTTTTTCAGTATTTACAATGGATTTTCCTCTAGTTTGACTCCGTAAAACCCTTCCACGTCTGTCAGCCAGGTCAGGCTGCAGGGAGGGAACAACGGCCCCAGGATCGCTGCTGAGCCCACAGATGCTCTTAGCGGCTGAGAATGCGTTCAGAGCTTGGAAGAGAAGAAACATTAGCTGGGATTTTGGGAAATCTTTTTTTTTTTTTTTTTCCTTTTTCTCTTTTTCTCCAGCTGAATGGCAAAAGACGACTCTGATAGCATTAAAAACGAGGTGAACCCCTATATCTGAGTCTCTCCGTAACGCGGCGGCGGCGGCACGTTCCGGTGATGCTTTGCACAGGACGCGGCACCGAGGAGCAAAAAGTGCTTCCAAAGACAGGGAATTTGTTCATCCTCACACCAGCCCTGTGAGGTAGGAGAGCAGCATCACCCTCACGGGGGAAACTGAGGCACGGAGAAGTGCTTTGCTTAGCGTCCTTTCCTTCCTGCCCTGTGGCAGGAGAGGCAGCCAGCAGCACAAGCTCTGCCTGCAACTCCTCCCCGGCATGACCCTGCCAGCAGAAACCCACTTTACCCTGTTCCCCAAATCCTGCCTGGAGGCTCCCTACGTCCCCCTGCGCCAACTTAAAAGCTCCACATCCTTCCTCACCACACAGACAAGGATGTTTCAGGACAGCAGCTGCCATCCCCTGCCCTGTGCATCCCAGGATGGGGCAGGGCTGAGGCTGCTCCTTGCTCACAGAGGGGAAAAAAAAAAAAATTAAAATGAAAAAAAAAAAAAAATATTTCTGCTAGGATAAAAGCACGGCAGAGAGGAGCTGATAGCATCTCTCACCCCTCCATGAGGATGTTCCCCCTAAATTACCTTTTATTCTGGCACAAAGAGAGCGGCTAGAAGAGCTACCACGGGGCCAGGGATCCTTCCTGCTTGCTTTTGGGGTTCACTAGAGCTTTTTTTTGGTTTTTTTCCTGCTTATTCATTCCAGGCCTGATCCAGGGCTTGCTCGCGTCTCCTGCCACCCATCTCACCAACCAGCCACGCCAGGGATCCTGATTTATCCCGC